GGAGGGCCGACCGTCGGGATGCGATGGCTGAGGAATCCTGCGCCTCCCCAGAGAATCTACGTTGCAGTAAAGCTTCACCAGCAAAAAAAAAAAAACCACACTAGTTCAGAATAATCCACTCTTGCAAAAGCATTCTTGCTTTTCCTTTTTTTTTTTTTTGCAAGGCCAGAGGAAGGGTGTTGAGAATCCACGAGACAGTTCTGTGATCCCCGCGTTTCCCTCGAGCAGACCCGGCACGCCACTGACCCCACTGAGCAAGAGCCACCTCTGCACGAGGCTTGTCCCCCTTGTCCCCAGCACAGGGGACAAGTGGAGCTGTAAATTGGAACTGAACCTTGGAGGACTGCACAGGGACAAGGGCCACCCCTAAATGCTGGCGGGCACAGAGGGCTTGAGAGAGCAAATGAAACCTGTGAACTTACTGGTAGGTTCTGAAGTCAACGATACAACAGCGTCTCTGTAAAACTCACCTGTATGTTGTGTATACTGCTTATTATTTTAAGTCAAAAATTCATTATAAACCTATATCAGAAAAAGATGTTCTTTGCTTTTTGAATTCCTACACGCCCAGTTGGGCACTTCCCCAGAGCAGTGTTTCTTCCCCCTGCTGCTTGCAGCTCCCACCATCCCAAAGCACAGACCCTCCCCTCCCAGGAGTTATCTGTAGCTTCCCACAAAGCAGAGGATGGCATCCAGCACCCAAAGCCCCAGGGGAATCCTTCCTCAGCAGCAGCACACCCCAGGACATGTGGCTGCCCATCCCTGGCCAGGTTGGACAGGGCTTGAAGCAACCTGGGCTAGTGGAAGGTGTCCCTGCCCATGGCAGGGGGTGGAATGGGATGAGCTTTAAAGACCCTTCCAACCCAAACCATTCCAATGCTCTCTAGTACTGGGTTGAACAGGAGATGCCAGATAAACTTCCAAACCTTTCCCATTAAAAAAAACCCAAAACAACCACTCCAAACATAATCAAGTAAAACTGAAGCTGATGAGAGGGGGGGCAGGCAGCTGCAGAGCTGCCAGTAAATACATTACAGGGACCCACCCCTCTGATCTGTAGAAATTCCCTCAATTCTTTTCCCCCAATTTGAGCATTACAAAGATGTCTTGTTTAGTGTACAGGTATTTTATAGTCTGATCAAAAGGTCCCAGTCCACACAAACAGATGTAATGTACAACAGTTGCACCTGCAAATTTAATATCCCCAGGTAAAACAGAAAAATTACCTTCAGCATTGCAATTCCTGAGGCTGAGGATGCTTCTGGCACTTCCCCCCTGCCTAGAGCTGGGCTGCCCATTGCCCCAGGCAGGCTGTGCCTCCTCCCTGAGCCAGAAAAAAAGGGGTGAGTTTTCCTAACATTGCTCAGCATTGTGTTGGTGGGCAGGTAAGGATGCTGTGCACACTCAAAGGAAATTTTCATGGACATTCCAAGCCAATTGGAAAGGCCAAGTCAAAGGGGACATTCACCTGTAAATACTTTTTTTGCTGGGATCTGCTTTATTGCTGCCAGAGAGGCTGTGGGAGCTCTCCAGGGAGGGTTTTCTCCTGGCAGCAGCAAGATGTGTGGGCAGAGGGAGCTGAGCAGGCCTCAACAGCCAAGTCTGGAGGAAGGTCAAAGGAGCAGGATGGGATTAAGGCAAAGAAGATTATGCTGGTCCTAAGCCACTCATTGGCTGCTGCACCGAGAGCATCTCTGAACGGGGATTTTACTCAATGGCCCTAGGAAATATTAGTTTAAGTGGGGAGAGAAAACCACTTTGAAAACTGCTTTGATGGGAACTGCTCAAAGAATTTAAAGAGCCTGCCATGGGCCAGATTAGAGCACCTTCCTCCGTGCCAGACCACCGAGAGTGCTCGTGCAGAAAAGGGACCTTCAGCAGAGCTGCTGCAGAGCCACAGGCAAGCAAAAAGGTGACATTTTAACAGAACTCTTTTTAAAAAAGAGTTACAGGAATCCCACCTCCCCACTACCTAACTGTTTCTTACAGAATTAAACCATCTCCCTTCTGAATCCTGTGCTGACAGCAGGAGAGGGCTGGGCAGCACCTTCTCTGCTCTTGCACTCGAGCTGGTGTTTACCTGGGAGCCTCCTGGTCTCCCCCCAGGCCCTTCCAAGCCCTCTGGGAATTCAGAGACCATTTTCCCATCTCGGCTGTGCTGAGGAATGCTGGCAGGTGAGAGGGAGGTCTGAGCCAGGCCAAAGGCATCCCAAGCCTGCCACAGCCATCAGGCTGATCGACCTGGAAGAGCCCCTCATTTATCTTCATTACTGCTCCACCTACCAGCAATTTACAACAGACTTGAAAAAAATGCTGCCCCCTCAGCCATCAATCCAAGCCTCCCTCCCAGAGCAGGACACTGGGAGGGATCCAGTGCCTGGGGACCTGGGGTCAGCTGTCAACAAACACTTCTTCCTCTCCAGAGGACCCCCGGGAAGTGTCTGCAGCAGATCTGTGGGCCCATCTGATGAATGACACCTTAATCAATGGCTGCTGCCAAAATACATCCTCCCTCTGAGTGCAGATGTTCATATTTTAAACCAAAGAGGGAAACTCCTGAGGACAGGTTGCCCTGGGTTTATTGGCTTCCCCCTTTCCCATGTCATCCCAGAGATGCTGAACTGGATGCCTCCAGTGCTCTGTGGAATAACCACAGCTGAGACAGAAACCCTCCATAGTCCTGTGTCCACCAGCGTGGTGGGACCCCCTGCCTGGCTGCCTTCCCCTGTCACAGCAGTGAATCAGGAGTAAAAACACTTGGAAGCAGGTACCAGTGCTCCAGAAGCACCCAGAGGAGCAGCCATGGGCACAGCCTGAGGAGCTCGAGTCCACCTGACAGAAGAAGGGAGAATTTCTCCTGCAAAGGGCTATGCAAGGCTACACTCCCTTATTTATTAACAAGCAATTAGCAAAAAAAAAACCCAGCAGAATGGCTGGGAATTGAAATGCACTGGTCAGCCCGAGCAGCCTCCCAGTGCTTGTGCAAGATGACATCCCGCTGTGGGCTGAAGGAAATCCAGACTGGTCTGTCTTCCCACAGATGAGCCCCACCGAAGCTCCCCCCAGCACACTCATCCTGGGCAGGCAGCTGTTTTCCATCTCTAAACGTTTCTGAAGGCTGCAGTCTCGTCAGGGAACACTCAGTCCCTCTCACAAGCCCCTCTTAAGTAATCTGCCTGAAATGTGCAGGGAGCCTTTTATGCAAGATCATCTTCTAATTATCCTCCAGTCAAAAGCATGTCTGAACTTAAGGACAAGTAGCAGAATTAATTGCTTAATGAGCTTCTGAATAAATTACCTTCTCTGAAGAAGCTGGACAGGACACACAGGTAGAAGGCACTGGAAACACAGGATCATGTGCAGGGCCAGGAGCTGGACTTTGATGTTGCTTCTGTGTCCAAGTCAGGAGATTCTACGATTCTGATTTTCAGTAGATCACAGGAGTGACAACAGGCCTTAACCAAGATGACACCACCATTTTTCTGCATGGATGGTAGTGGCAAGATCCTTAAGTTTTTGAGCCCAGCAAAGCAGAGTGACACCAGTGCCCAGCTACACCTCAATCCCAACACCTTCTGTCTTCCTGTGGGCCTTTTCTGTTCTCCAGGGGGTTCACAGAGGTGCAAAAGGTGCCTGTGATCATGGGGGTCACCTGCTGTTACAGACCCAGCTGGCAGGGACAGATTTACTGGGGCATTTTGACTAGAATTTGCACAGCCTGTCAAAGACCTGTGTGGGAGCTTTCACATCCCATATTCCCGATGCAGAGTCACGGAGGGCTGCTCCAGCAAGCAGCAGGGGGTCACTGCTCTGGAATCACAGCCAGTGAGTCAAGGCAGGAGAATGCAACAGTCACATACTGTGTCACTCTGTTTTATAACTGATGAAAGCCCACAGCCAAATTAGAAAAGGAATCAAGAGGTTGTTAAGAGAAGGGTCCGAGCCGACGGGGGCCACGCTGTGATTGCACAATCCAGCGCATCCAGAGTGAAAGGAAAATGTCACTGGCCAGGAATAACCAGAGGAGGAAGATCCCGAAGGAGGAGCACACTCATCGTGGCGGGTGCACCCTCGGTGATGCCGTAAGTGTGGGTGTGTTACCTCGCTCTCCCCAGCGAGCACACTCACCGAGGATCCCACCAAAGAGCACAGCACAGCAACCCAGGCTGGAAAGGAGGGAAATTCCAAGCACATGAGCAGCATCCCTGATCACCGGCTGTCCCTCCAGTGGAAGGGCTGGGGCAGGCAGAGCACACCCCGCCGAGGAGGCTCCAGAAGGGAGGAGGGAGCCGGGAGACAGAGCTGGAAAATGAAGCTGCCTTTACTCTGTCTCCACCTTTGTTGTAACTCGGGTGAATTCAGAGCACAGAACACCGTACACAGAAGCCCCCTGTGAGTGCTACTGTCACCTGGCTGATGTACAGAGATGGCAATAGCCCACATGTCACCTCTGCAGCCACCCTAATTAACTGCAGGAGAGGGACGGGAGGAGTCTGTCTGTCCCTGTTGGCAGCAATACAGGGCAAGCTGGACACTGCTCAGAGGCTGGTAGAGCCTGGAGGGGAGGTTCTTCCCCCAGAGGGTGGTCGGGCACTGAACAGGCTCCCCAGGGCAGTGGTCACAGCCCCAAACCTGCCAGAGCTCAAGGAGTGTTTGGACAATGCTCTCAGGCACAGGGTGGGATTCTGGGGTTGTCCTGTGCAGGGCCAGGGGTTGGACTGGATGATCCTTGTGGATCCCTTCCAGCTGAGGATATTCTGTGATTCCACGAAGCCCCTCTGCCCTTGCTGCCCACAGTGCCCTCTGTGAAGGGCTCAGCACTCAGCACCAGCTCACATGTGCTCCCAACCTCCCTTCCAACACCTCAGCACGGCCTCACGTGGCTCCCAACCACACACCCCATCCATTAGTGTTTGGGAGGTGCAGCTCCCCTCGGAGTCTCATCCCCGAGCAGGGGGAAGGGCAAAGTTAATTTATGTCTGGCTGAGCCCCGTTGTTCGTCTCCCTTCCCTAAGGGAGTCTGCTCTCATATTTAACCTCTTCATTCTGCTGGCACTGGAGGTGGATGATGCAGCTTGTGGAGAGGTGCAGGCACTTCACTCTCCCCCTCCCCCTGGAATCTTCCTCTCACTTGTGGTCCTTGGGATTCACCCAATGTTTCTCAGGATAAAAAAAAAAAAAAAAAAAAAAAGAGGACCTCAAGACAAGTATGCATTTAATAAGCAGTGAGACAAATAAGCTCCAGTTATCCCAGCAGAATTACAACACCAGAGAACAATTTTCTGCATTCCTCTGAAGGCCTGAAGGAACCCAATTGCCTGCTCTCAGCCTAAATAGGTACCAGACACCAAGTGCTCCATAAGCAAACAGAGCCCCCAAAGTGCAAAAATGAAATAAGTAAAAAGCTTCACATTACATATAAACCAGCCGTTTGCACCTTGTTATTAATGGTCTTGACTATGACCTTTAAACCCTGCCTTGCTCAGAGTCATGGATCTACGAGCCTTGGCACCCTCACAACAATTCCAGGACGAGGAGCAGGGAATAAACATGCCTGGCCAGTGCTGGAGAGATGCAGGGAAGGAACTGGCCTGCGACAAACCAGGATGGAGAACCACTCCAGGGCCATCTCCATGTGAATCTGCCCCCATAAACTCAGTGACCAGGGTGTGTGACAGCATGAAAAGTCCTTTGGCCCCATACACACGTGCATATGAGCTACTAACACATGGATCTATCCCAAATTTCAAGACTGAGGGGCTCACAGCATGTAAATAACTGCCAGAGAGCTCATTCCCCAGAATTCTGATGTGGTTCATAAGCCCACATGACTAGAGTTGCCTTGAGCAGACCCTGTTACCCAGAAATATTTGAGTCTAAACTACCTCACCTCTGCTTTAAGAATTTTATCATAATAGCACCAGTGAAAGCTGGTAGCACCCACTGTACTACCATGAGCCACCAACTGAAATCCTCCTACATCAAATCCCCAACAGCACGCTGATATCAACTTCCAAACACCTCAAGTCAGACATCAGAAAGTTGTTCCAGTGATGTGTTAAATCACTTTTGTGTTGTCTCTCCAGATGCACATGCAATGAAGTCCTGATCCACAAAGATCTTTACACACTTTTCGTTAAAATCAGTGGTAAGAGGGCAAATTCACACAGGAATTCAGTCCCCAATTGCCTCACAAACAATAGTTTTACTGTGTGTGGTAACACTTTCCCCCTTCCCTCCCTGTCCTTTTTGGAAATAACTTCTGGAGAAGCAAGAGGTTGGCAGGAGGAAAGGCAGAATTCCTCTTTTTAATCAAGAACTAACCTGTCATCACATGGTGAGACACTGTGAGCACCAAAAACCACCCACCCAACCAAACCCACCCCAAACTTGAACCCTGCCTAAATTGTCAAAGAGATTATAATTACCCTGGTTTACAAATATACATATTGGCCTCAGGTATAGAAATAAATGCTGATCTTCAAGATTTGACTGAATGAACTGAAAATCTGAGAAGTCTATTAATGCCACACAGAGCCTCATGGAAAGGCTTTTTCCATCCCAATGGCTGTAAGGTCACCACAGTGCATGTTTCCAGGAAATTACATCAATGCTTATCTGCCCTGAGTCATGATTGTAATTTTTTAAATATATATATATACACACACACACACACACACACACAACTAAATTAAGATGGTATTACTAAGGTATGGGTCAGGTCTAAGTCCCTGCTCCCATGTGGCAAGGAACACTCCTAAAAAGCATGGACAGTCCTGCTAGGAAATCATACAGAGCACTCCTCCTTCCTCAAGAATTGCTGGCACTTCTAGAGACAGGAAGATTTTCATTACATAGCCTGCTGCCAGCTCTCCTTTCAGCACAAGCCCATCCCCTTTCTGTTACTGTTATGTCAGGGGAGGACAGTGAGAGAAAGCAGCTCTTGGGATGATACATGGGAGGCAGAGCTTCATTTATAACCCCACACAACTGCTGGAAAAGGTTCAACTTTAAAAAGCATTAGGTTGGTTACCTTATGGGCCCCTGCGGACCAAGAAGTGAAATCACATGAACACAACAGGTCTATTAATCACCACAATGATTCCAAAGTGAGAAACAGCCCCACTGACACACATTCAACTGGAAAAAAAGTTGAGAAAATCACCTACTAGTAGTTAGGTAACTCCAAAAGTATGGATAGTTACCTTTCTGTAGGGCTCCCCTTTTGATTTCTCAATGAATTAAAGTATTTAACTTGGATTAAAGTCAGTCAATAGACACATAAATGGAGAGCAACAATGGCATTTCTACCTAAACATGTGTGTTTCCCCTCAGCCAGAGTTACAAACAAACTACACTTACATGAGATGCAGAGGTCACTCTCAGCTTCATAGCACTTGGATTGCAAGGTAAAGAAGGATTTGAAAAGAAGAAAAAAATAATTCATTTAATGGTCTTCTTTGTCAAGATGGATTCTAGGTCAACTCAAAGTGACCTCGTAAAGTAACTGATTGCTTTAGGAATTGTTTCAGAGAACAGAGTAGGCTACAACAAGACTCCTCCATTCACATTCAGAAACTGGAATAATTTACATGACCTTTGGAAGAAGCCATCAAAGTCACAAACCTTCACAGAGATAGTGGAGATCAAGTGTGTAAGTTATTAGGGGTAAGTGTATGTGTTTATCTGCAAAATGTAAGATGATGGGTTTCCACGTGCCCAGAATTAGCATTTCTCCACAAGCCTGTGCTATTTTTATCACTTCCCCTCTTAAGAAGCCTGGGCTAACGTGACTCTGCTCCCTCACTGCAGAGCAGCAGATCTGCATGGGAAAAAGGAGACATTTTCTCTAATGGGAGAGTGGAAATGAGGTCACACCAATTACCCCAAACCACTTGGCTGCCACAGCCATCTTTTCACCTCTGCAGTAAACAAACCCTTGGGGCTGGTCTGTACATGAAGCAACTCCTTTGAGGAGTTCTCCACATCTCCCTTCTCCTCAAGTCCTGATATCAACAACCACAGTACTTTGGACTAACACTTGAAAGTTCAGGTCTCCCCAAAAAAAGCCTCCCATGCAGATATCACAACCACTTTGGGCAGATTCAGAAGCCACCCTGCCTTTCAAAATGCTTTGCCTTGAAGAATAGAAAGTGCACAGTTAAATCTAAAGGAGTAACAACATGAAACAGAGGAGTTTATACAACATCTCCTTGAGTTATTCAGTAAAACTACCCTTAAGGACAGAGAAGAAAGAAATGTGTTTGCACACTATAATCTATATTAAACAGACGCTTAAGAAGTCAACAAATTCAATGTGTTAAGAAGCAACTTTTTAATAAAGAAAGCAAAATCATACTTTGCTGTTAACAAATATTTTGAAAAAGGCTTATAAAATTAAATCTAAGCCAAGTATCTGGTGCATCTGCAGCTGAGAAGGAAGTATCAATACTCCAAACACCTGCTCAGTTTGTGTACTCTCCTTTCTTACAGAGGAAGTATGAGCTTCCAGTTGTCCAAGTGATTTAGAGAGCAATAAACTATTGCTCAACAAAAACTATTTTCTTAGATGACTATAGACTAAGGCCAAAGAAGAAATTCATATGTTAAGCACCATCAACATGGAAGCCTGTCAAAGATGTCAGTTTGAAGAGCCCAGATTTCTTCCTTGCCCCCCAGGACTGGGGTCAGCCAACCACCAGGGTGAGGCTCACGAGAATCAAACCAAACTATCATGGAAAACACACTCCAGTCACACTGGAGTCGGCTGATGCCACAGGCTGGGCAGCAGCAGGACCTCAGTGTGTTCCACAGTGAAGCTGAAGGGTGGAAGAAGAGTCCCAAAGCACTGGAAGAAAGAGAACACAACAATAAATCAGCTCAGCTTCCAAACCAACTTCCTCCTGCAGGCTCAAAGTATGAACAAAACCCACCCCGTGTCTTCCCCTCAAGGCAACAGAACTACAATCCCTTCACTGCTGATGACATGAAACAGGCTGGTTGTAAACGTTAAGTATTAATGAAGACACACAAAAGAAGAAAAAAACCCCTGGAAGCCACAGCTCCAGCCTTGTCCACTCACCCCTGGCAGGGTCCACTCAGCTGGAGGCCAAGACACTGGGAGCACTCACCGGCCACAGCACCCGCAGCACCTGGGCAGAGGCAGGAGGGTTAGGATGGCATTTCTCCATGCCACAACTCTTCCAGCTGCTCAGCACTGTGCCTTCAGGGCTGAACAGACAGGGGAGAAGGGGAGTTATAGAATCACAGAGTGGTCTGGGTTTGGAAGGGACCTTAAAGATCATCTCCTGTCCTGATTTATGGGTCATCGACTCAAACATGTGCAAACTGAACAGCCCATCCACCAAGAGCAGCCCGTGCTTCCAGACAGGATCCATATTCTAGATGCCATCTAAACAGTTCCAGAAATAAAGATTAGGCTAAAACAAATGGTGCAAGCTCCCCTGCACCTTCTCAACCCATCCCCCAAGTATTCCCCTGGGACTCGGGTTATCCTCACACAAACCCTCATTTCATGAGTCAGCAACGACAGGACTCATTTACTTTGAAGGTTTCACTTTGGCCCTCCTGGCTTCTATCATAACCTCAAATATTACATTAAAAAGGCTTTTAAAACATAACATTCACAGCAGTGCAGGAGCTTTTCCTTGCAGGCAGCTCTTCCCTGCCTGTTTGCGTGTGGCACCTTCCCATTAAGTGCATGAGTTAAGATGTAGATTAGCAAGGCAAGAAACCTTTGCCCTTGGCACCCACACTCAGCTCTGACAGGAAACTTCAGGCTTTTTTTTTTTCCTATCAAGTGTAGAACCACTCATTACACATTGGCAGGGAAGTGCACATCTCCAAACTATACACATTTTCTCTTAGATAAGCAAAAGACTCAAGTGTTTATAAATATGAAAAGTTCAGCAGCTGGCTAAAAACTTAATTCTCCAGTCTCACTTAATGAGCTTTGGGGAAAGTGGTAGGGGGATTTGTTCAGAAAGTAAAGCAGTGTCACAGAAAGCAGGACTTGCCAGGCACGGCTCTGCTTTGCCCTATTTTCTGTCCCTAGATGGTTGCTCTGGGCAAAATGGTACAGAAGGTTCTTATGGGGAGCCAGGGAACATTCAGAATGGGAAATGCTTTCTCCTAATCTTGCAATCATAAAAATTAGCCAATTTTTAATTTAAGTCCCATGACTTCTTTCTTTCTTGTGAAAATACCAAGCGATCCATATCAAACCACTTTGGAACATGGACTGTCTTAGGATTTTGTCCAATTCCCTGAACAAGGAAGTTGTTTTCAGTAGGATTCAGCAAGAACACTGCTGCATTATTTTTTCAATAATTTAATATTAACTAATACTGGTCTATTCCAGTAGCATAAGGTTTGGATTTAAGAAATTGGATTGATCTGCTTGGAATTGCCCAGAGAAGCTGTGGTTGCCCCATCCCTGGAAGTGTTCAAGGCCACTTGGTCTTGTGGAAAGTGTCCCTGCCCATGGCAGGGGGTAGAACGGGATGAGCTTTAAGGTCCCTTTCAAGCCAAAGCATTCCATGATTCTATGAAGGTGTGTTGGGTGCTTTCAGGAATTTCTGGGAAGATTGTTTACAGTGCCTGCTGTCACTCTGCATCACTGTGTCCTTGAAAGCAGACTTCTGAGTGTCTTTGTGTTCCACAAGGAATTGTGCAACCCCACTTTTGCAAGATGATATTCAGCCACCCAATTCTCCACCCATGTAATTAACTAAGAAATAAAAATTCATACTGAATGAAAAAGTAATCAGACCCTTTTGTCTGCAGTTACAACAGAAGTTGTTTTATGTAGCAGTGCTTTTCAGCTTGTTCAGTGAGCTGTACATACAACTGTCATCCCTTTTGTGTACCTCCTCCCTTCTGTCACTTATTGGGATGAATTTAAGCAGCAATTGCTTGAGAAACAGAGCTGTCTGATGATCAAGAACAGTGTGATTCTCCAAGAGGTCAGAAATCTAGATGAAAGAAACAGCAAGGCTGAGCTGTCACCCTCTGGGAGTGCTTGCATTGGTACTGCAGCTCATTGTGGATCCTCCACCACCGCCTGTCCCACTGTCCTCACCAGCACTG